TACAAGCCAGTCCATTTTTGTTGAGGTAGTTATTCTAATATTCTGATGTGCTTTATGACAAATTAACATCAGTGTCCACATTAAAATCGAGACACATGTACACGTCTATATATGTCAGCTACAGTATGTGGCATTATGTGCCTTTAATCTGTAATATAATTTCTGAATTGCCATATTACACAGAATAGCATACACTCTTTATTAATTCTGTCTCTGAGATTTTAACTCTGGCGTAAATTGGCAGTCGGAAGAATACATGTATATAAAATAGTTGTATGGATTTGTTTTAAGAACTAATTGTGCACTAAACTGAATAACAATCTTCCTAGACATCTGAAAGCACAGGAACACTTCATCATGGGTTAAATATAAGTTATTAAGTATCTTGTAACTAGACTATAACTTTACCATCCCTTTTACAAGTATAACATTATTTTGACAGGAAATACCATTTTTCTAAAAACAACTTTCCAACATAAACCTACATACATGTACATCTATCATTAATCAGAATCATATCATCCAGGTTTTTTTGTTTTTTTTAAAAATGTATTAATAGAAACTATGACCTTTAGTCTTTGGATGAATGTGGAATGTGTTTGACCCACTAGTCTTGGTAAAATAAATATTATGAAATAAAGGTTGTGTTATGTACTCTCCTTTTCTCTTCTTAAAATTGGGACATACAAGGTATATTCACAACATAGCAAATAAATAAAGCAAATATATGTGGGCTTTTACTTGTGGTACATTTTATGCTCTGAGTCATTTTCAAAACAATATTTGAATCATGTACATTGTATGATGTCAAAAAAAAAAACACAAGCAATAAGAAATGCCAGCTACACAGTCAAAGGCATAATATTCTCACATTAAAACACACTACTGGGTAGAACTAGAAGAGCTATAAATCATAATATAAAGACAAGTTCACACATTGTCATATTTGGCTGGGTTAAATTTTAAGCTTCAGTGAATAAACTGAAATAGCTGGTTTGGTCAGACATCTCTGTAAAGCCTTTTATTTTACACTTGGTCTATAAATATAAGGGAATGTTGTACATAAACTTGGTAAAGAATCCAGCCAAAACAAAAAATACGTCTAACCTACTTTATACTGAAAGTTTTCTGTCTAGATGCTATTTTCAAAACCCTCAAAATCATTGAATAAATGTTAGGCTTCCACAAATAGTGATTTTGGGGGTTTAAAATACTCTAGACCTATATTTTTTGTTGATCCGCATAATCAAGGAGAAAAGGAGATATGAAATAAACCAAAGACTATAATTTAATTATGTATTTGGGCAGTGGAAATAAGGGCCCATGCTTAGTATATGTATATTATTATAAAATACTAAATAAATACATTCACTTTTAATCAATACTTTTCATTCTACTTTTTATCGATCAACTGTTTAAACAAGTCATGTCCTTTCCGAATTTTACTGATTATTCAAGACAAAAGATAGGTTGCCAGGCAACGAAACATACGCCCACAGCAGCTAAATCGTCCGGGCAGTCAACAAGAGTTGTCGCATATTTTTAATTTTCGGTAATGAAACATTTATAATAGTAATACACTAAAATCTGATTATAAATTTAAAGTCAATCGGATATTAACTTTGGCCTCTAGAGCGTCCACAAGATTTTTCAAAGTGAACAAGGGCGCCCATGACTCTGGCAGTAATTATCGCAAATCGCTGAAAATCAAAAGGCTTCTTTATCTCATGACCGTAAACACTGTGTATAAATTTAAAGTCAATCAGATATTAACTTTGACCTCTAGAGCGTCCACAAGATTTTTTGAAGTGATCAAGGGCCATAACTCTGGCAGTAATTATCGGAAATCGCTGAAAATCAATAGGCTTCTTCGTCTCAAGACGATACATGCCTGTAATAAGCGGTGTGTAGACATAATGTAAACTAAATGATCAATGGGGTAAGAGCTGATTGCTGAATGTGCCTACAAGTCTTTGGAAGCCTGTAATACTAATGTTTGCATGTGCCACTATTTTTTAGCGTGATGAAGGTCAATGGGGTAATCCAATCATTTATAATAGAAATATTAACAAAAGCAATGGAATAGCTGAAAGTTGATAACTGATTAATGCATTATTTATGAAGTTTGTTTGTTACAGGAAACAAAAGAGGTAAACTTATAATTTTTTTTAAAATAACCATTTTTTTTTACACACAGTTTACTAGTGATATTTATTTTGTATTCACTATTCAGTGCAGTATTTAATGATAAAATTGACAATTAATGATTACTGCATTATTATGGGTGTTAGAAAAATGGAGATTTTTCACCCATAGCTAAGCTACATATGTACTTTAGAATAAGGTTACAAGGGTCAGCGGGATTATGTAATGATGCATGCCATCGAAATCTTATGCAGCATTTAGAATATCTGATTTCAAGAGATGAAGTATGGTAGGTAATATTCAGGATGGATCGATTACTTCTGGTATATGATAAATTATTGAAATTAAGCGGATTATCGGCAGACAGTCACTGAGCTCAACAGCTTTTGGAGTAAAATACTATAAGCTTTAAAGGAGAGTAAGCACAATTCATGTGGAATTCATGTGAAACACATGTGCATTTAGTATTGGGTAGGAATTATGAGAATATTGAATGATATGAGAAACAGGTGTAATGGTTAGATTAGAGCATGTGTTAACTAACAGACACAACTCTTGATAATATCTACATTTGTCAATGGAAGCAGCCTGCTCATAAAACTAGGTCAGTAGATCTACCAGCTGCAGGCCCCAGCACACAAATGCTGCAAATCTACTCCATATGGCAAGCTCGCTTGGTATATAATATACATTTACCATAGTTATACAGTTAACATACACACCAGTTGTTTTACTAGCTTACAAATTACTCAACCAAACTCAGCACTGATAAATAGTCTGGCTACACCTTTTCTTTTGATATACTTGAGGTCGAGGATATTTAAGGACAACCAACATAGCGATTTATAATAAAATGACCCCCATCATGGTAATTTAAGTATAACAACCCATTAGAATATAATGACTACCATCAATGCACACAAAATGGCTTTAAATGGGTATTTTTTTGTATTAAATAAAGGTTTATGAAATAGTGTAGTTCAACTTACATGTATCATGCCAGAGTGAAGTTTAACACAGTGAATAAGCTTTTAAAAATATAAATACTGGTAGATGGGGAAATAGTATATGAAACCGTGCAAACTGGGTGATTTGATGATGTATTTGGACTAAAAACATATTCAAACTAATTAATCTATCAAACTTTTGCTTCAAATCCTTCTCAAAACATTGTATTCACGAGCAAGGAAATATCCTAAGCTATAAAAAATCTATTAAAAGAAGTCATGTTTGCAACATGTGACATGGCTGTCGCGGCACCTAGCAATGGGTGCAAAGCCAGAGGAGAATTCATTGCCTATAAAAGACAATGTTATCTTTAATCGCTGTCCATTTATCATAAATATCGGAGACTAATTAAATTCTCGGATTATCACTGCCCACATCTTTTCCGTGGGTTTTATCTCAGAAACTGTTGTACGTCTAAGTCGCTCACTTTTTCCTAGTCAGCTCAACATCAAGTTTATTGACACATACATCAAGCGCTCCCTAATGCTGAGAGATCAGACAATCTTCGCGTGCAACCCTTGACATCACTCAAGCAGACAGCCCTTAAGCATCAGGCTGTTAATTAGTGACACCCTCTCATTTTTGTCCTGTGCATGGCTCCATGGGTGTTTTTCAAGGAAACCAGTATTTTTCTACAAAGATGGGGAGTCTCCACTTTCCCAATCTGATTAAAATACAGATCTATATTTCGTTTCGTTTTTTTATACTTTCGATGGCCTACACTACATGAAGATCTGACCAGTGTATTGGGCAGTTGCGTCAGGGGTCATACGAGCGGATTTTGACCCCATGACGTCAGACATTGATTAATCAATCAGCGTTGACATTTTTGGGGGTTTACCCACAGTTCCGTGCAGAGCACACCAAGAACTCGCCGTAACAGACTGTTTCATTGGCTAATTCCTCAAATCAACTAGAACGTGTTTTAATCAGTATGCCACTTTCCATACTTTTATTGGAAATAACCACCCGAAAGTAACTTTAATATATTTTGTGGGTAAAAACCTGATCAATGATCAGCTTAAAGTTAAGTTAAAGACTGTGTTTTGTTTTGAAGTGGAACTACGGTAACGGGTAGCTGAACAAAGTTAGAAGTGAAAGATGAAACTATATCCCTCTTACTGAAAACATCCGGGCTAACCATATAAACAATAGCTAAGCCCCATTTAGCATTAGTGAATTACTCATAACAAGCTAATGCTAAGTTAAGAAAAATATCCTGTTAAAAACAAAAACTACTAGCCGTCCCTTTCCGTGTAAAACTAGGTGTCAAAAAATTCAAATTCCACAAAACAGATATTGTATATTGCCCAATATAATAAAGTAGAGAGGAAAAGGCTTGACAAGATTGCACCTTATTTGCTGGACAAGCTCAGACAATGTTTATTATAATATATCTGCCTAACTTTAAACATAAACATGCCATTATGCAAAAACATCAATTTATAACATCAAGTGTGGAAATACAAACAATAACAATATGCAACAGCTGAGGTGTTGAGAAATATTTCATGAATATTCATGAGCTTTCCTTATTTGGCATTGAGCCATACCAGACGGTATACAGACTAGATTTGAGCAGCAGAAGTGAGTGGTGGCAGGTGCTTCAACACATGTATCACAGCGGTATCTAGCACAATTTATCTAAACATAAATCTCATAATACTCTAACTTCTGTCAAGATTTCAAAAAATTTTATCATACAGACTCGATTTTGATTCTTTATTATACAACAAAATTGTATAGAACAAATTAATTGTCAAAGGAATTTCCATTTTTTTCTGTTTTTATGTTAAATTCACATGAAAATATCTAATTATATTATTGCCAGTAAATCCTCTACATACCTGGTTTGTAAGCTGGGTGACCTTGATACATATTATTATCCATATTGTTGGGACCATTTTTCATCTGTTGCTGCTGTTGTTGATGACGACGTGCATTGGGAGGGGAAAACATCTGCATAAAAACAGGAAAACAATTAATATTATATTTATATTGTACACCATCAAAATAAATCAAAATATTATACACACCCACACAATTTAAATGCCTACACAATAATAATGGATCACCACACTAACTGTAAATGAAACAATACAATAATCTTCTTCTTAAAAAAATGAAATGAAATGAAATGGGGTTTAACGTCCTACTGTTCTGCTTCTTAAAAAAAACTCCAAAGTAAAAATTGAAATTGTGAATATTGCTGAAGCAATGTTCCTTATTATGCCTTACAAATTTTGCAATGCACGTATTTATGCCGATACAGTGAATGCATTTCTGTTACCAATAATACAGTATAATATAATCCAAGTATATGGAATAAATTCTGTAAAACTTAATTTCCATTTTAAGTTTAACCTAAAATAATTCCAGAAAAGAGAATTTTAATAGATTTCAAGTCAGCAAAGACAAATTTTCCATTGAGTTTATTGAAGGGCATATAATTCAGTCAAAAATTAACAAATCCCATGAAATGTGAACATTATCTGTAGAACTGTTAATGCCAGCATCTCAAAGATAAATTTAAAAAACTTCTAGAAAACAAGAATGACAGACAGGCCGACAGATGGAGGTAAAAGTTCCTTCCAGTTTCACCAATATATGGGGCAGTTAAAAAATGTAAGGTCTGCATGGTGATCCACCATCCCTCATTAACAAAGATTCCACTGACTATGGGAATCTCATTTTTGAGTATTTGAGTTCTCTTGTTTGAGTTAACATTGAAATGTTACGAGACCTAGCTTTTGTACATGTACATACATGTATGGCTGTAACACTTTCATATTAACCGTTCATTCATAAAATACATTATGATTAAAAGATTCTAAATGTATTCAAATTAAAATGTATTCAGTGATAAAAATCTTCATGGTTCACTCCTTCAAAATATAGTTACGCAGGTGTTTAAAATTTATGAAACTTGCGGTGGGTAAGACACACACCTCTGTTACAAATTTTAACTTTGTTAGGAAAGACTCGTTATGCAACGAAGGTTACACAAAATAAGCAAAAAAATTAACAACCATAGATTCAATTATAAAATATTAAATATATATTATCTGAACAGATGATCATGCCGATTATATATCGACACCGAAAAATTAAGAGGACTATTCTTGTCTTGTTAAACTTATTTTTCACATTCTATTTTCATTCAATGTATTAAAAAAAACATGATCAGTTTAAGAGATAAAAATGTTACTTATTATACTGTGATACTCAAAGTCAAAATGCTCTGTATGTGTAAATTCAGGGCAACAACCCTTTTCATAACTAGCAATATAGTTTAAATTGGTTATGCAAATGAGCAAAACATACACTTTGCTATACATGTACAAATACTTCCATTCACAACAGCTATCCACAATCATAATTTATTTACATTAAGGGAGTATTTAATGTGAAACTAGAGTTAACTATAAAATGATCCACAAATTATCAACTTCTGGTTTTAACCCTTACAATCATTGATTTATTGAGCTTCTCCCGGGTAAACTGTCGCCAAAGCGCTACAAGATTACTGGAAGCTCAAAAATTGATCCTTATTCTACGATAATGGTCTTCTACTTGTGGCCGCAATGCCCGATTAGCTAGCGCTGTCAATTCAGCAAATAACTCTTTGATCGGTTGGAGTTAGACAAGAAATATAATCATGTGAAAAAGCTTCCCTTTCCTTCCACTAATAAAATAAGTTGGCGGACATTATTTACAGCAAGAGTCGATCACAATGCTGGACAAATATGTAAATGAATTGGCAAATAAAATACAATTGTTAGGTTGATGAAGTGTAAATGTCAATGTAACAGCTGGGCTTACAAATATCCTCCCTCATTAGCCTTTCAATAAGAAATTAGAAAACAAGTATTAACCTCACTTTTATTAGTTAGGTTTATACTAACTAATAACTCCTAGCACAGATTTATGTCAGTGAGAAAATAAATAGCTTGAACTAGCTGATTATTAACTACAGAAATTTCAGTTTGAAAACATATCTTATTCTTTAAAATATTTCTAAATCTATCCATACATTTAAGTACATGTACTTTTCAAAACACAATATATTCATGATTTAATTTAAATTTGAATATGAAATAGTTTCTAAAAATAACTACTAAATTGGCCAAATTTTCATTGTGTACGGAAATAATTTAGGTTCAATATTATGTGTTATCAAACGCATCTTAATTTCGTTTTATAAAAAATTGATAGATATAAATTACACCTTAAATGAAAATATAAAACATCTATTGAGAAGAACTGTTCTTGTGTGACATGTACAGGTATCATTTTTATGGGAAACAATTTGAAAGATGAAATAAGTACAATATAATTATCAAATAGTACATGTATGGTATTATTCACACAGGGGTGGACAAGTGCTAGTTAAATCAGCCATGACAAGGAAATTGAAATATCAATCCACTTGTGTAGTTTAGTTGCACACGGTACCACAACAACAAATATATATTACATTGTCATGTATAAGTTGGCCCACAGGTAAATCTTTCAATTCTCTAATAAGTTTTACAGTTTTAAAGTCCTTGCCTAATCTGATTGGATGCAAGAATCCAAAACTATAAGAAAGATTCGCAATTTTGAAATCCAGAGATGGTGTGCAGTTTTGTGTACACTGTACGGTACATGTATGTCATTTAGTCCATAAAATAAAAACTGCACACAGATTTTGAATCTTATATATTTATGGCAACTGGAGCCTATAGATATACATGTAGCTATTAGTAGATTGATGCAATTAGACATTATATTGTAGCCTACTATGTATTAGATACTGTACTGTCAAAACAGTTACCAAAATACAGACATGTAGGTTGATTAATATAAAAGTTAATACATGTAGCTAGTAACTGTTCATATGTCTTTAGTATTTATGCTATACAGTACAGGTCAATATCATCTTTGAAGAAATTATGTTTAAAAGAGATGTTTTCCTTTGGCAGTACTGGTGTTAGCCCAAAAAAATGGCTTAAATATGGCCCCAGTTTCACAAAATATTCTCAGACTAAAGTTAAGACTTTTCTCATAATTGTTCCCCTTATTATAACTAAAATATAGCCCTTTATAAAACGTTTGTTGTTTTAATGTATCACATAAAACAATAAGAAACTATGTGCAAAGTTTTGTCTTTCTGGATCAAAGATATTTCTTATAAACAGTGATTGAAAGATGAGTAAATTCTTACATGTAATTCTGAGAATGCTTTGTGAAACTGGGCTCTGATTTTCTCCTAAGACGCTATGAAAATGCACAACTTTTAAGTTTTATACAAATCGATGATTATACATCTAGTTTGAGACATACACTTTATCCTTGCAATACTGAATGTAACATCAGATTCAGATCATGATCATGACATCACATGATCACGTAAATGCACCACAGAAAAATAATCTCAAACATAAAAAAAAACACAAAAATTTGAATATAACAGAATGGGAATGCTGGAAATCACAATTTTATGGTGCAGGATGCCATCACCCTACCAGCTGGAGATTGTTCGGTTGTATCTACAGATATGGTACTGTCTGAACAGTAACACATGACAATGCTTCCAAAAGACCTGGCACACATTATCTGGAAACATCTGCAGGATTGCAATTCTGACTAAATTCTATTATCTACTTTTAATTTGTATCCCTGGTGCCTACATTTCACTGTAAAGTTTTGGCTTCAGTCAGTGTCCAGTCTATCAATAGGCTACTTCCTGGATGTGTTATGAATAATCACCAACCTCGTATACTTTCGGGATTATCAAAATTACTTGGATTGTGAACTAAATGACTATTAAAGACTAGCTGACAAGTTGATTGACTTCTTGATCAACAAGTATTAATTAACTCTTTTAATTACATGCAGGTGACATCTTTGAATAGTTTTTACAACTCCCTAAACCATAGGATGGCGGAGATTTAAACAGATTGAAAAACGATTGACATTTAATGATTTAATTTAAAAATGGAGAAGCGAGGCTAAGTCTCGATTAACAAGTAATGTTGCTACGACAATAAACAATCTACATGTACATGTATGCCACATCTTGTCAAAACTTCAAACATTGATAACATTGCTGAGAATAAAGTAATTTAAATGAAATTTTCAATATATTAAGTGTGAATTATCTATTTTTGAACTATTAGAGTAAGAAGGTCAGCTATTTATCTAAATCTTACATAATGCATCTTTTAACTATAATTGAGATTAGTACTATAATTAGTAATAGCAATACCCTCAGAACAGTCAATATTTTGCTAGGGTGACCCATGTAGTGAAAATTTTCCCTACAGAAAGTAGGACTTGACACAGCGAATGTGCGCACTTCAGTGGCTTGTCTAGAAGTGATTTCTGGCTAACCACGCAGTATAATACTCAGCGCTAGAGTCTATGAGACTATAAAAAGCCATCGCAATTCTCTACACATCTATCAACTATTACAGCCGTAAAAAATCTATTGTTGACGATTCTGAATAGCAGTAATATTTAGCTTTTTGGTTATCACAGTAGCTTTAGAAATTACGTTCGTTTTATTTTTGAAATTGCTTTATCATTAACTGTACTGTTAGGAGAGGCATCTTTTGATTTAGTACAAATAATATCTCTGAAACACTCAAGTTAGGCAAGAACTTGATACTAGCAGTAGTTTCATTTTACTTTTGCAAGGTTTTTAAAACAATTGTTGAGTTGCCTAACGTGCATGTTTCTAAATTCAATATCTTGTTCCAGCTTTCTGTTATGTTTCGTAAAAAAGTACAATGTAGTCTTGATTAATCAGACCTGTCAATTAGATGTAGAATGGTCGGTAGACTGGTTAAGCGAGACTAATTTCAAAACAAGGGCATGTAACCTATTTTTTTACTCACAAGTGCCTGAATGTTATGGCCGACACTCGTAACCATCTTTCAGTGTATTATTTATGGATGGTTAAATGGTCATAGCTT